TGTTTTCCAAACACCATTTTTTGAAGAGACTGTACTTTTTTCACTGTGTTCTGTGTGCCTTTGTCAAAAATTAGTTGATTGTATATTATGTCTAAGTTTTCTTGTGGGCTCTCAATTATGTTCCATTTATCTATATGTCTGTTTTATGCCAATACCCTGTTATTATGATTACTATAGGTTTGTAGTATAATTTAAAATCAGAAAATGTGCTGCTTCCAACTTTGTTCTTTGTTTTTAAGATGTCTTTGGTTATTTAGGTTCTTTTGTGGTTCCATGTGGATTTTAGCATTGTTTTCTATATTTTAGTGAGAAATGCTATTGGAGTTTTGATAGGTATTACCTTGAATCTATAGATTACTTTAAGTGGTATAAACATTTTAGCAACATTAATTCTTCTAATCCAGGGTCATAGAATATATTTCCATTTATTTCTGTCATCTTCTATTTCTTTCATCATTGTGTTATAATTTATGGCTTACAGATCTTTCTTTAAATTTATTCTTAAGTATTGCATATTTTTTCACAATAGAATAAATTGAATTGTTTTCTTGAATTCCTTGTTGGATATTTCATTGCAATATAAAGAAATGCTACTGATTTTTTAATGTTGATTTTGTATCCTGAAACTTCACTGGATTTGTTTATTCTCACCACTTTTTGGTGGATTTTTTTTGGGGGGGAGGGAGTACAGGGAATTAAATCTAGGGATCCTTAACCATTGAGCCACATTCCCCACTTGTTATGTTTTATTTTGATACAGGGTCTTGCTAAGTTGCTGAGGCTGATTTTGAACTTGCAATCCTCCTGCCTCCTACTTAGTAGATTCTTTAGGGTTTTCTACATGTAGGATCAATTACTTCTGCAACCAGAGACAATTATTTTAGTACTCACATTTAGCTTCTGAATCCATTTTGGGTTAATTTTTGTATATGAGTTATGGTAAAAGTCCAATATCATTCTTTTGCATGTGAAAATTCAGTTTTCCCTGTGGAAAAGGACAGTCCCTTCACCATTGAATGGACTTTGCACCTTTGTCAAAAATCATTTGACCATTTATATAAAGGTTTATATCTAGGTTTTCTATTCCATTTCATTGATCTGTCTGTTTTTGGTTTTGGATTTATTTTACACCAGTTACATACATTTTGATTACTGTAGCTTTTTAATCAGAAAACACGAATCTTCCAACTTCCTTTTTAAGATCGTTTTGGTTATACAGGGTTCCTTGAGATCCCATATGAATTTTAGGATGGAGATGGATATTTTAATTTCCTCAAAAAAGTCATTAGTATTTTAATAGAGATTGCACTAAATCTGTAGATAACCTTGGAATTATTGACATTCTAACAACATTAAGTCTTCCAGTCTATGCACTGTTGGCATTTTAAAAAATATTTTTTAGTTGTTGATGTACCATTTATTTATTTATTTATATGTGGTGCTGAAGATCAAACCCAGTGCCTCACACATGCTAGGCAAGTGCGCTGCTATTAAGTCACAACCCCAGCCCCAGCACTATTGGCATTTTTAAAATACTGGTGTATTTTTTGGTAATCAAACAAAAAGAGTCATTGGTGAAGGGAACTGGTAAATTTCTCATGTCAGTTCATGCAACTTTACTGGATCTCAGTTACCAGTTTTTAAAAATTGGCATCATTTTCAGGAGAAGGCATAGATTAGAGATTAGGAGAGAAATTATTATTTTTTAAAATATTTAATTTTTACTTATAGGTGGTAGCAATATCTTTCATTTTTATATTTATGTGTACTGAGGATTGAACCCAGTGCCTCACACATGCTAGGCAAGTATTCTACCTTTGAGCCACAAACCCCAACCCAGGAGAGAAATTATTGACTGTAGATGTTCATGACAAAAAT